ATTGATCAAATTTTAACTGTTTTAGATGGGCAAGGTACCAAGTTCTTATGTCTACTTCAGGTGAAGATATAAAAGTATCGGACCTTGTTCTTTATTTGTGCTGTGCAAGTGTAAATATTTACGTAAAAGTTAATGTTTCTCCTTTAAAGCAGTAATATAAGAAAATATAATTAAGAGCTCTAAATGTATTTTCCTATTTTTACTAGAGGATTGAGAAAAAGACACGTTTTAAAACGTTCTGTTAACTGCGATTCATCGTTTTAGAAGGCCGGAAGAAATCATTTGATTCTGAAGAAAAACGTAATTAGGTTTTGCCTTAAGTATAAAATGAAATCGCAGGTACCTCAATTTAAGTTGAAAGGTTGGACTTTCAGTGCCCCTCTTAGAAAAACCTGGATTAGACAATTTGTATAAAGGCAGTATCATCACGTCATGAGTATACCTTAGCTGTCACCACTGATTATAGTTTTAGTTTAATCTTCCAAAGCCAAGTCCCCTTTCCATCGATTATGAAAAGTTCAATAGAAAGAGAGGGCGTCCCAAGGACAGAGTCAGGTTAATCTCGGGAGCATGAATACAGGCCCAGGGATTAGATCAGGTGATCGGGAATGCCTTATCACCTTCCATCGATTCTCTGACGTGACGTCAACAATCATAAACAAAAGGCATACTCCCCCTGGTATCCTCGCCTATACTCATGAGAACCAGGTTTGTTTTTTTTCTTTCCTAAAAATACTCCTCCTAAAACTTATTGTTTTGATTAAATGATGAAACGGTTCGCAAAAGAGGTTTGAAAGTGCTTCAAAACCTCACAAAATCACGATTGCAAAGGCTGTCAAGAAATTGACTTAAGATCAATTCCACTTCCCTATAGTATTTGCCTATATAGAAATATTCTCCGGATTACGTAATAATGCCATAGTCACGCTCGCACATCTCAAAAAGTGACGTAAAATGCTGCTGAATTTATCATTTCCGACTTCTGGAAAGTCTTTCCGATCTTGCTCAAAGTTAAATGCATGGGTACCTTATAAATCTTGGTTTTCTAGTAGGGAAGAACTATATCACCATGATCGCTGTGTTACGTTTGCTTGGACAGATTGATGCTGAATGGGGTAGCCAGCTTAAGATACATATCTGCCCTTGTTACAATTCGATAGAACGTGCACAGCAAACTTTAATCAACCGTCACGACCGCTTCGTTAAAATAAATACATGCTCCACATCTTTTTACCTTCATGAATTACCGGTAGGCCCTATGATAGGAAGAGGAAATAGCTTTAATCATCTTGAAGAGGTCACTTCTGAGTGACTAGCCCCCTTCTCTGCCCCTCTTTGGTCATCATGAGACCATGGCTAAACATCATATAGGCCTTGACCCCAGACTAAGGTACAAGACAGCACTTCTGAAAATCTACCGGGGCTCATGTGAATTAATCATCATTGTCTTTCGAAAAAATGACAAAATGTAGAATAATGAGGATGATAATATCAAGATAACAATGTTCTTTTATGGATAATACCCGATTGACATTTGCGAAAACTATCATTAGTTTATGAAAGGATAAAGGAAATTATATTTAGGAGAAAGGTGTAGAGAGGTTAGTAGAGTGTTGACAGGATGGGCACGTTAGGTGAGTCACTACGGGAAACTCTTGGCGTCTGATACTATCAGCGAAAGGGTGTACAGCATAAGTGTGCCCAAAGTCTTTCCTAGTAATATACGTGTGGATTAGCACAAAGTATATTCTCTTTCATGAATATGTCTGAATTGCATTACATAAACGTTTTTCTTATTCAGAGACATCCCTCTTACAAATATGTCTTACATTCTAAGCCGGATCTTGTGAATGTTACACTCTCTTATTCTGTATATATCGATTTAGGCCTATGAGTCATGATTAACTGAAAAAATGATGAAGTAACCATATTTTATTGAAATGGTATAAATATGCAATGTACCTCGTGACCTTTCTTTGAGAAATACATTCAATTTGACATCAATATGACATCGTGTAATGCCGATTTTCTAGGATGCGCTCTGCGTAAGTTATTATTATGATTTGTAAAGAGCGTTTAGATGTTTGAGTAGATAGACTCTTCCTTCTGAATATATTCGATTAACTAATTAAATCGATACCTAAACAATGTCTAGATTCCTTTCATTATCAAAAAGATATGCTAATCAAGCTAACTAATAGTCAGATTATTGCTTATCTAGCGATTCTTTCTACTATAGTACAGGTTTCTTCTAAAGCGGCAGAGTACGCATTTCGAGCACTTCTCTCCATTGCTGCAGGGATTCACCAATTTGCGTTGAGCGGAAGTAGCGTTCAGAATGTTCCGATCGGACAAACAAACAACGGGCGGGGCTTGAAACATTGATCTCTCTAAATCTATATTATTATCACCTAAGTGGGAGGGGCTCAAATAAGTCGTTTTCCCCTCAAAATGTATTAATCCCTTAGGATTTAAGACCAATATACGACATGTTTGAAATTCAGTGAGCATAACGGAAATCCATCCATGCCATGTATCAACAAGGATAGACTTCAGTGTCCTTTTTCTGACACAAGAGAAAACAATGGATTTGTGAAATTATGAAGGCTTCAATAAGTCCACTGATTTTTCTTGAACATGATTTGCTTTCTTTCATATTTTAATTTTCAGGGGGTCCTTGCTGGCTACCTGATTTAACGAGGCAAAAACGATAAGATATTATTTACTGAGAAAAGTAAATCGAAAAGAGTTCAGGGCAGAGGCTTCGGAGAAGGGACAACAGTGCTTTTCCCCAGTTGCACTTTGGTTCTCGCCCACAAGTTCTCCAGTTCATCTTTGGCGGATTATATAGTTGTGATATTATTTGAGATGTAAGAGTCAATGTGTGACATCCGGATCAGTTTTCAGAATAAACAGATTTGATCAAGGCAAATAACTTTATTACAAATGATACGTGTTCAGATATTACGAGAAAATAATAAGATATGTTGGCAGGTAACAAATTTTAATATCATTATTGACATTCTCTAATCCACATGATCAATCGCAAACATACAACTCCAATATCTTTAGTAAAGAAAATTCATTATAATTAATCTTCCGTTAGATTAGTTTTAATTCACCGCAACTGTTAAAAAAACAGGACATCCAGGTCATCTAAACTTTCCTCGTTGCTAAATAGAGGTGTTACTCGCTGTGGTTAAATCGAAACATGATCAGAAATGTTCGATTGCCCCATGAGTTGCGAACATATTCCCTAGTCAACTAAATTCCTAAAAACTTGATCATTAAAAATGGGACCTGTTTATCAGGCGGAGATGTAAATTGTTGAACACACCCGTGAAATCATCATACTAGGTCAACACATCTTTCTGTCTGAATTACATTAATCAGTTCCATAACAACTAAGAAATCATAAAGGGACTTATCATTGCTTTTTACATTGAATCAGCAACCTTATCTTTTTTTAAATTTAATGTTAGACTTTGTTCACTACTATAAATAAATCCGTGACAGCGCCCTCTGTCTAAATCTATATGCCTATAGAATTTATAGTGTACCAAAATCAACAACAAAATCAAATCATAATTTTGTTTTTTTCAATCCACGTATTTTTTTAATACCGAACATGCTGGAGCGTGCATCAGGCCATATTTAGTCAGGCCCCTGAAAAAAAGTGCTTGGGTAGTAATCTTATCAAAAGAATATTCACAAAGTGTTGACATACAATGCAATGACTGCGCGGTTTGTCTGATTGTTCGACTCCTTTACAATCTCGTGCTGAATCATGAATACCTCGAGAATTGCTGACATTGCACATGCAATTGAGGCAGACAAAGATGAAAAGTTGTTGCTCAATTGTATTCAAAGATCCCCATTTATCATGATCCCCGTTGGTTATCAAATGATATACGAATGAATATAGTCCTCTCTGACACAATCCTTAAAGGGATTTTTAGCCTTTGATGTATTGCCCCGTTTTTCTTTGTTCCCTTTTACTCCTTTTTACATCCTACATGTTGTACATGAGCCAATTATTTATTTTGGACATCAACTTGTAGCTTATATCGTTGCGCAATTTACTCAAGGCAGCTAAGAAAAAAAACACCTTATTATTGAAAGCGTTTGGTATCTAACTATTTATGTTTTTTATCCTTTGTTATTATACCGAATGGTATATTCAGTATATAGAACTGCCTTACGAGTGAGCCTGGTATTATAAAGTAAAATTAAAGTATAATTCAAACAAATATTATGAAAGATTGGAATCAAAACAAAAATCATGAACTTCAAATTGAAACAAGTTCCTACTCTGTTATCACTAAGAAGAATACATTTTTCCAGAATCGTTAAAAAGTTAACTATTTGTTCGTAATCCGTGCATAAACAATGAAAATAAATTTATTTTGGATTATGGACCCTGAATAAGTCACAATTCCATTGAGTGAGGTAAACGTACAGTTTTATAAGTCAATGAATAACATGCAAACAGATTTTTATGAATATTGTTTTACGACACGTCAGTATCTGCTTAAAAGTGATGAAATCATGTAGCACTGAAACGTGTGAAAGACATTCCTTCAAATGTTTTTGGTACTATGTTTATTTCTTATTATTTCGTGTGATGTAATACCGCGTTGTATCATTTTGTTTGATTTATTAACTGATTTACACATGGTGATAATTTAAATAAAGCGTATAAAAAAGGGGAAAAGGAAAAAAGAGAGGAATATCTGGGGGAGAAATTTAAAAACAGGGGCATAAAGTTTTTATTTTTCGACACATTGAAAAATCTGTCATTGACTTAAAGCCCCACTGCACTACTTATAGCTACTTGGGCCCTCTATATAACAAACAATGCCTACTCGGTGACTGTTGGTCCCCATGGTCCCCTTTTAATGAGATAACCACCTGTCAGTGACCATGCATGGAGGTATAATCCCTCCTGGCAGAACTAGTGCAGATAGGCTTTAATAAAGGTGATTTTTAAGTATTCTTACTTGATATGTCCTTGTTGTCGATGTGTCGACTGGCTCGTCCAGCTCCCGTATCCACCACCACGTCTGTGTCGTCTCCGACAGGCCCGTTCATGTTGCCCCGAGCTCTTCGGATTCGAGATGATACCGGTGATTCTTGCAACAACCCTCTGTCCTACGAATTCAAAGAGAAAAGGAAAAAGGTTTTAATAACGAGCATTTTTATTTAAAATGTTAATTCTTAGCATATTTTCTTTAAAAGGCCAAGTCGCACCGCCAAACCGACCCCTACCGATTCCAAATCGAGCGACTCCTGCTCCATGTAATTTGTGTGTGGTCTATAGTGTCGGTCAGGTGACGGTCTCGTGTGCTTTACTAGGGTAGTACCTCAATCACATCGTGAAAATGCCCGATCGGTTCTCGGTCTTTTGGGGTAATTTGTTTTGGTTCGGTCTATTTTCGGTCCGATATCGCAGGCATATCGAGTTGCGGTAAGGCATACATATGCAGAAAGATTCTCCTCTTTTCATTAACATTCATCCGGTCTTGAATTCGTGACCCGATTCAGTAAGTCATTAAAGAGAGGTATCATAAAGTTTTCGTTAATTAGCAACTTGCTCACAGGCCACACTATTCAGGGGTTAATGCTACAAACTGTGTTTTATTTAGATGCAAATGTCAGCAACAATTTTTCCCGATGAACATGCCCCCTAAATTCGGCAATAAATCAGTATGATTTAAGTTATACAAATGCGCATGCCTGTTCTTTCATTTCCTACTAATTGAAACATGTAACCACAATAGAAGTATAGTGAACAAGTTGAACGAATCCTAATCCCTGTGAAAATAAATGGTGGGTATTGAAAGCCCACGCACATTATTGACTTATCCAAAACAACATGCATTAACTGTTGAGGACAATATCTGCATCAACTAAGACATTATCTAGCTGATAGTAAACGTTGTGATAGACCAAATGGTTGTCAGACTGACCAACACGGAAGACAACAACAACAACAACACTATCTGTAATATTAGTCAGGCAGCATGATGTAGCATGTATTACAATACAAACAAGGCAAGAAACGCACAGACTGAGAAAAACTACAACAAGATAGACTATTACATGTAGCATGATTAGGCAGTCACTTTTACATACCATAGACAAGACAGGGACGTCGATCTTGGTCGACGTCGAAATACGATCATCGTCAAAACTACATTCTCCCAAGTCTAAAGGACGCCGGCGATACACTTGAATTTGGTGGAAAGACATTATATGTTATGGTCCTCAAAATCAAGTTTTCTTTTAAAATAGAAATCAAAACACCACTCCAAAACGTAACCCTGCGATCGACGATGCAAAATGGTGTAGTAGCTAGTAAACTTCTTTTATGACACATTCCTCATTGTATGGCCCACGTACTTGGCTATTTAAGCAAGTGTCTTTGGACTTCGCATTTGTATTGAGGATTGAAAAAAAAATGGGGAGATTAGAGCCATTGTACACGTTTTGGGGAAGACGAGCGACACAATATTCAGGAGCGGATGTTACAATAAAAAGGAAGCACAAAGGATTGGAACCATTAATGACCCGCAGTGAGGCTGTTGGGTAGTGAAGCGTGTTTTACATTCCGTTCTAGAATTAGATGTCCAGGGATAAAATGTACCCCTATTTTGACCCGTTTGGATGAGTGGCTAAATTGTTTGAAGGCTACTGTAGATAGTTAAACAGTCTTACAATTTTCACATATCTATAACATATTTAATAAATCTCTTATAATGTTCCTGTAAATACTGCTTATAATTTCGGCTTGCATGGTGATGTAGATATACATCAGACTTACAGTTGCACCATGTGAGAGAGGGGAAGGATTGTGGAGTCCTGAAAAGGATGGTCGGTAATCTTTCTTTCTTGAGTGTGTGTGTGTAGTCCTGAAAAGGACTGTTGGTAATCTTTTTTGAGCTTAGAGAACTAAAGGTCCAATTGGAGAGGATGGGTAGTAGGGGGGGGGGGCTCGACGTATCGAACAGGTTGACTATACGTCGTCCTGACAATATAGAAACATAGTAATGGTGTAAGTAGTAGCAGCTGTCGTAGAATAGGAATAGTAATACTGTGGCATAAGTGTTTTAGGAATAGTAGTAGAAGTGTAGTCTTATATATATTATGAAATTACATCGAAATGTAGTTTATGTACAAGAAGAACCCGTCATTGTCGTACCGATAAGACGTTTACTAACCCGGCAAAAATCACGAGCCAATATCAACCTTGGATATTTATCTTTCTCGAGAAATATCGAAATAGATCATTCTTTATTTTTTGCAAGACTAAGGCAAACAAAACAATATCATACTGGTCTCCAAGTTTGATGGACATTCTTAATCTCGTTTTAAATGGGTTAATCTTAGCTTTCCTACGTGTCTAATCACTATGTGGTCCGGAATGTCGACGGAAATAACCGATTATTGGTTAAATGTCTAGGAGTCCTGAAATGATCGTCTACGTAAGAAAAGTACACAGTTATAAGCTTGAGTTCCAAGTATAGCTAGCATTTACCATTTACATATGTACGTAAGACAGACAGAATACAACATAAATTAGATTCTATGCGTATCTTTTAAAGGTATCACGCACAGGCTATGTCACTTACTTTAAATAGATTTGGAAAATACTTTCCAAATTCATCTGTTCTGTTTATGCTATAAACATAGAACCAAACGTGAATTCCAAAACATAAATTAATGGTATGAAAATTGAGCATCATGAATTATCGCAGGATATAACGCAATTAATATCAAATGGACTTTAAAAAGTGACTTAATTAATTGTAGCCAATTGTATCTAAATCATATCACTATTTTTAATTTTCTTCTTTTTTTAGTTTTTGTAATTATGTGAAATTTTCTCACAGGTAAAGTTCATAAGGTGTTTTTTTTTCTTTTGCACTTCAACATATCTGTAAAGGGGCGATTTTAAGTAGCTGAATTTTTCTAGAATTATTTTATCAAAAACGACATGCATTTGTATAATTTGCTAGTGAGTTAGATTTTATCTTGGTTAATTACAATATGCATTTGTTCGATGCATGCTGGAACAGTAACATTATTTCAGAACTTTTAAAAACTTTTTATCCACGAGAACGCCCTCTAATAATGCCCTGGATGCGAGTATAACTAAAATATCCCGTTTGCCATACAAGGCTAACCCTACACAACGCAAACGAGATTGTTCCCTATACATACTGTATTTTTTATGGTCAACTCCAAACATTTATTGCGTTGATACCTTCGCCTAATGAGGAAATTAGCTCATGCTCCATTAATTATCGCAATGTTAGCACTGTTCATTTCGCAAACATTTGTTGACGATGCCACCCTCACGTATGGCGCGTCAAAGCCAACACCGAACACCTGTTGCTGACACAGTCCTTACGTCAGGTTAATGACGCAGTCCTTACGTCAAGTAAATGACGCGCCGCGTGCAAGGGGCATACAAGTGGTTTTTCATTGGACGATCGGCCGAGGGTGTACGGTCCATGAAACCCCCTCGTCACAAGGCCATACCCACTCATACAAGAACAATTTACTGTACACTAGGCATAAGGTGTTATTTTGTTCGATATATCGTCGGTTTGGTGACGGTCTTGTCGGTATGACTGAAGTATGATGGTTATTGTTGCCACCTCGTCGGACCCCTAGCTGACATGACTTTCTCCGGACAGCCGCCCAAAGAGTACGCCCCTTTATATACACCCTCCCCGCCCATCGCGCACACAATGTCATGTTTAATAGCTCAAGACAGTGACATAGCCAACAACAGCGTGGACAAGACCTTAATGGAAGGGGGCGGGTGTGACGTAGTAAGGCACACCACACCTGTCCGAAGTGTTGGGTCCTGATTAGAAATTTCCGCCATGATGCTTGAAAACAGTTGGTGGAGTAGGTATGACATACATCTGGAGAAGGGGAGGGGCATCTCTTTTTGATTACGTAACAAATTAAATATAGATAATAATGCAAAAGGTGACGTAAGTTGTATAATTTGTCGAATTGATTTCTAGAATCGCTTTGTTTTTATTTCGGACAATGAAAATAATATTGACATTGTTGGAAGACTTGGAGAAACAAAACCCATCATGATCGGATATATACATGTATGGATTCATTTAACGATACCATACGATATGGTATGTTTAAATCAAACACTATCAAATCCAATCATGTAATCCCGATTAAGAACTAAACAAAAATACCGTGCATAATAGTGCCATAGTATATTATTAAAAAAAGATAAAGAACAAAAAAGGAAATCACAAGTAAAGATCCAACTTAAACCAAATACAATAACCCCCATGTTTGAAGTGGGGCAACGAATAATAGAATGAAAATCCTTCCAATTTTATTACAGATAACCGGATATGTGACTGATCTCTACAAAACAAAACTCTGGATTTACCCGCTAACACTAACATTTACAGATCTGTCACCCTCTCAGTAATTCATTGTTGTTTTTTATCTGATACTTTATGTATGCTCTCCCTCGCTGCGTCATACTTCTATTTCAAATCACGCGATAAAACAATAATGTTGACGTTTGAAAATGTCACATCATCTGAATCATACTAGTTATTGTAAGTTTCTGTATTTGATTATAGGTAGGTAATACGTGCGTGCGTGATTCTATTTATGTTCAGTAATGAGAGATTTTAATAGATGAAATGTGACGTTGATCCATAAAGATTAGTTTGTTGATTCAGTCGAAGTTTATAGAATGGTGTTAGAAGAGTACTGATAATGCAACCTAATGTAACTATGACTAACTTATAATGTTCTTTTAATTCTGTTTACTGCCCATACTTCTGCGAATCACATTATGCAACGACTCTGTTTATCAAAACAAAATTGCTGAAGTTGCGGAAAAATCAAATGAATCTTTCTACTTAAAAATAAAATTACAGAACTACGGTATTATTGAATAGGCTTACATAATAAATATATGATTTTAGAACTTTCTGTCAATATTTCACGGAATTACATGGTAACACACGATCTCAAATTCTAGTTCAATCGAAAACGCCCCTGACCTTAAGTATTAGTGAGATAAGAAGGGATTATTTCACGTTCACGACCTTACGTATCTGACATTGCGGTTTAGTTTTGGTCTCCTTGCA